AGGGAAAGACATGACAAAATAACAATTTATAAATTATCAAGGGCTCATGAGGGAGGGGGGAGCGGGGAGGGAGGGGGAAAATGAGGACCTAATGCTGGGGGCTTAAGTGGAGAGAAAATCTTTTGAGAATGATGAGGGCAATGAATGTACAAATGTGCTTTACACAATTGATGTATGCATGGATTGTGATAACAGTTGTATGAGCCCCTAGTAAAATGATTTTTAAAAAAATAAAGATTTGCTCTGCTTTGGGGAGGTAGCTCTTCTCCAGTATTATTTTAAGTGACCTTCAACTTGAGTACTGATAGTGCTATCAGGGGAATACGGGACTGCTAACTTTACTGCTGGTCTTTCAAACCCGCCAGCAGATCTTTGGGAGCAAGATCAGGTTGTCTGTTACCACTAAGCTTTTTAAAGCCTACAAAAAATCCTACACAAGGTACTGTGAGTCAGAGTCTACTCCATGGTATTGAATTTGGGTTTTGTTTTCTTAGGGGCTCGTCTTCTGGCACTGTACTTGACAATGTTCTGCTGCTATTCTTAAGGTTTCCAATGGGTGATTTTTCAAAAGTGGTCTGCCTGCTCCTCCTCATGTGTAATTTCTCAAGATCTGTAAGATTTAAAAATTGTCCCCCATGGGTGACCCAATGGTATTTGAAATACGGGTAGCATAGCTCCCAGTATCATAGTATCATGCAAGCCACCACAGGGTGACAAACTGGCAGACTAATAATGGAAGTCCTTATAAACTTTGCTTTCTTTTCATTTGAAAATTCCGCTTGTCTTTTTCTTTTCTTATACCATAGGAGGGGAACTGCAACTTACCCAACCTTGGGAAAGTTATTGCTTTTTTTCTTATCTGGTATTTAGTTTTTGTAAAAGTTCTTTGGAAAGTTGAAAAGAACTCCATTTTTTCTATGCATTTGATCTGTTTTAATGATACTTAAAGATATTCTATGAAAGTCTTTAAACTATAAAACTATCATTATGTTTTTAAATCTTTTTAATGCATTGGATCTGTTTTAATGATATTTAAAGATATTCCATAAATTCGTTAAGAGCTATAAAACTGTCATTACGTTTCTAAGAGATTTTAAATATACATGTGTGTGCTCATATATCTAAATATGTATTGGTTGCTATGTATTTAGACACACACAGACACATGACAACCGTATCTTCATAGACTGAATCGCCTTAATCTAACCTCTAGGTCCTGGGCCACTCCTCCCATCTATCTTCCAGCCTCACTCTCCTCCATTCTGCTCTTTCCTGCCAACCCCTGTCACTCGGGCATTTAAAGTGCTCAAAAGTGTCATGCCCCATCGAGCCGTTGTACACGGGTCACCTTTCTTAAAAGAAACTTCTATACTTTATCTAGTTTATGCCAATGTACTTTTAAGAAAAAATCCACATGTTATTTTATCTGAATTCAGTCTGGACTGTGCAATCTAAATGTAGTACTCTTAGATATTTTTGTGGTTTCCTGCAGCTTCCTTCCTCATATTGGTCACAATGGACACATTTGTTTACATTACAATTGTAGACTATACTATAATATCGTATTAGTGTTGGGAGTCATCGAGTTGGTTCCCACCCATAGTGCTCCTATGCCCAATAGAAGGAAACACCGCCTACTCCTGTGAGATTCTCACAATCGTTCCTTTACTTGAGCCATTGTTGCAGCCACTGTGCTGATTCATATCATTGAGGACGTTCCCCTTTTTGCTGCTCCTCTATGCCCTTCTAGGGACTGGTCTCTTCCGACAACATGTCCAAAGAATGTAAGACAAAATCGCACCGTCCTTGCCTTTAAGGAGCGTGCTGGCCATATTTCTTCCAGGATAGATTTGCTTGTTCTTTTGGCAGTCCATAGTGCTTTAAAAATTCTTCACCAGCACCACAATACAAACTCATTACTTCCTCCCCAGTCTTTCTTTTTCAGTGCCCGACTTTCACATGTATCCAAGGCAAGGGAAAATACTATGACTACGATCAGACACCTTAGTCCTCATAGTAACACCCTCGATTTTCAATACTCTCAAGAAGTCTTGTGGAGCAGAATCACGCAGTGCAACACGTCTTTTGATCTCTTGACTGATGCTTCCATGAGCATTGATCGTGGATCCAACAAGTTGATTGGCAACTTCAATCTTTTCTCCATGTATCAGGACGTTACCTATCAATCCAGTTGGATTTCGGTCTTCTTCACATTGCGTTGTAATCCAGATTGAAGGAGGAAATCCTTGATCTTCATCACAAAATGCTTCAAATCTTCCTCACTTTCTGCAAGCAAAGTTGTGTCATCTCTACATAGTGGGTTGTTAATCAGCCTTTCTCCAGTTGATCCTGCATTCTTCGTCATACAACCCAGTACCTCTGATTATTTTCTCAGCACACAGATTGAATATGTTTGGTGAGATAATATGACCCTGGTGCACACCTTTCCTGATTTTTAACCATACAACTGCCTCTTGATCCATGTACAGATTGCACAGGACCGATTTTTAACCATACAACTGCCTCTTGATCCATGTACAGATTGCACAGGACCACAATGCAGTGGTCTGGAATTCTCATTCCCTATGGTGTAGGCTAGTGTGATACAATCTAGTGTAGTATCCTGGTATAGTTTCATGAATAGTATCTGTTTCTTGCCTGTATTACACCTGCGGCTGAATGCTACAAATGTCTAGGTTTGAATTCTTGAAAATTACTAAGGGTGAAATAATTAACAGAATTGGAGCTGTTCCCATTCAAAAACCAAATGAAACAAAACAATTTTTGTGACACTATAGACATATATGGCATTGAGCAATGTCTGACTGAATATTAAACAATGCACGCCTGTATATATAAACACTCATTGTCTACTTGACTAGGAGAATGAGTTAATTAAAATCAAAGCACTAATTGCTTAACAATTAAAGGGGAAATCATATGCATATGTAAATGTATAAACAGCATCTATTTTTTATTCTGACTGCTACTTCAACAGAATGGGTAAGTATAAGAATTTGAAGTTTTTGAATGACTCATGTTCCAATTTCACAGAAAGTGTCTTGATTTCTGTAAATAAATCAGAAATCTTGCACTTTACCAGTGAATCTGCTCATGCATTTGTTAACTGGTTTTGTTTGTTTGAACTATTGTTAATTAGGTGGGGGCGTACAGATCAGATCATCAGTTTTACAATCAACAATTCATAACATTTTGCTTCAAGCCATCTGTTACAATCCCCTGAATGTATCATCAGTTATCCCACTCCATCCCTGTGTTTCCTGTTTCTATTCCTCCTCCTTTCCTAGCCCTCTGAAATTTGTCCTGGGGCAATGTTGCCCATTTGATCTTAGAAGGTGGATTATTCTAACATACAGATGAGTTCAATTCCAGACCTTAAGGGTTACTAAGGGCTATAGTTTTGGGGGTTCCACTAGTCTCTATGTAGCACCTTCTAATGTGATAATTCCTTTTCACAGAAGTTGGTCATGGTAGGTGGGCACCATCTAGTAGAGACTGTTTGCATGGTCCACTGGACTAATTATTTCCCAGTGCCTTTCCATTTTGTCACTCATTTTCCTCTGGATGCAGAGGCCAATAAGTAGTTCCCCCGTAGATGGCTGCTAATGTCCTTTTAAGACTCCAGTTGCTACTCAGCAAAGTAGGATATGAAATAGTCTTTGTGAACTATGTTATTCCAATTGACCTTGGTGTCCCCAAGACTCAGTCCCTCAAGGTATTTGTTTATGTCTAAGACCTTTTTGCTTTTTCCCTCAGCTTTTGAATAACTTCTTCAGTAATCCATTTCCAGAAGAATTTTTGGTTCTTTTCATAAACTGGGTAAATGATGTAAATCCTTCTGTATGTAAACTGAGCTTGCAGAAAATTGCCACCATGGCACCAGTTGTCAATAAGGTAGGTGTGTGTGTATGTGTGTGTGTGTGTGTGTGTGTGTGTGTGTGTGTGATTTTGGTCATCCAGTTCTATCACAATCAGATTTTTATATTGTTCACTGTCTTCTAGATAACACATGTACATTTTTTCAGGTTCTATACAGCAAAAAGTTACCCTGATGGTGTAGTGGGTTAAGTATTGGACTGTAATTGCTGATGCAAATCCACCAGTGTCTCCATGGGAAAAAGAGGAGGCAATCTGATTCCATAAATATTTTGTCTCAGAAACCCAATGGACTCTTCCCTAGAGGGTTACTATGAGTCAGAATCAACTTGATGAAAGTGGATTTGTATAGCCAAAATAATATCAAAACATTTTGTTTTATTAATAAGAAGACTGCACTGACGGGCAAGGATGACTTAAGTCAACTGAGCAGCTGTATCACTTTACTTCTTTTTTTCTCCCAGAAAACAATTCACTTCATTCAGAACTTATTTATAAACATTGTCCCGCATTAAACCTCTCCTTAAGACAGACAGGCATAGAAACCTATACATATGTGTGTGCACACACACATACATACACATATCCACACACGTGAGTTCCTATTTCAGAGTACTTGCTCACACTCATAATACTTTTCTTCCTCACCCATGTATATTTCCATTTTGTCTTCTTTTTCAATCATCTTGAACGTTACCGCTTACTCTGATTGCCAGCAGACTCATCCATCTGAGAGCCATGCCAACTGTGAATTTATTCAATATTTTTGTATCAGTGGATACCAAAGAACCAGAAAGGTTCTTGAGCTAGAAACATCAGCATCACCTGGTATCTTGTTTAGACATGCAGATTGTCAATCTCCAATCAAGATCTATTCTGGGGATGGGGCCCAGAAAGCTATGTTTTTGAAAGTGATCTAGGCGATTCTCAGACAAGTAACAGTTGAAAATCACTGCCTTATATTATTTCTCACCTTGCCACTCATGCATCTTGCCTTCCAGGTAGGGGGAAGCTAAGCAAACCCCTAGGTTTGTAATCGCTTATGAACTCCAAAGTTCCTTGCACAAAATGGAGAATGTATATGCTCCATAAATGTTTCTTGCTTTAATAAATCTAATAAAAAATGAATCTAATAATAAATCCTTATTTGTCTGCTGAGCATAGTCTCAGAAAGTTTTAAATCTGCCTGTGGACACCCATTTAGAATGAGATGAAGCATAGACAGTCTTAAATAAATCATATAAGTCAGTTGATTTATTAACAGTGTGCACTCTAAGCATCTTTATTGCCTTGTTCAGAACCAATCTCGTGGTTAACAAGTGACAGGAATAGTCTATGACGAGGTCAGCCAGGAGAGCAAGAGAGAAGTTATTAAGGTTGAATGGCTTGGGACTCATAACAACCTCGTGTAACAGTTTAGAACTTCCCTGTAGACGTTTCTTGACTGAAATCTTTACATCTTTCTCCCTCTAAACTGCTCGGCGCACTTGAAGTATCAACCTTTCAGTTAGCAATCAAGCCTTTAATGGATGCACCATTAGACCACTAAGAGAAGCAAAGGCGATTAATCTAGGTTTCATAAGACTGGAGTCCCCAGCCAGATACAAACAGCCTCTGACTCTGAGATAGTTTGGCTACTTACGTTTTTGCTACTTAAAGTTATTGTTCGGGCAAATATGATAAATTCAGTGAGTTTTAATTCTTTCCTTCAGTTCTTTTATTTCCTATCATTCTTGCTCTTATTTCATGTCTCCTTGTCATGTTTCCCCTTGCTGGATGTTTGAGTCAGATCTGAAATGGATCCCCAGGGCTTTGCTTAGTGGCTCTGTGGCTCTCATCTCCAAAGATATCACTAACACCCATTTACTATAGAAGTCACAGATGTCATACTGCCAGTGGTAGGCTGGTAAATCTCTCGAAACAGACTTCTCAGAAAACAAACCCAGTTTTCCTCTGTAAATACTCCTGTGATAGCTGTTTGAAACTATCAAGGGGACAACACTCATTGTAGGCTTGTAAAGAGGTTCACAGGAGTATAAAAGTGTCTGTGATTTCCACCAAACAGACAAATATATGTTGATAGCCTTGACTTTGTTAGTTGCTGCTGTCAAGTCAGCCCCCAACTCTTGGTGACCCTATGTGTTTCAAACAACTGCTTCCCAGGGTTTTCTTGACTAATATTTATGGTAGCAGTTTGCCAGGCTTTTCTTTTGTGGTAGTACTGAATGGGCTCAAACCGCCGAACTTCAGGGCAAACAACTGATTTGCAAGGCACTTGCACCACTGAGGCGCCCTAAGTAACCTCCGGAGTATAGATAATAGTGAAATGTCATAAAATAATTAGAAAGTGATACATTTTCAGTACTTCATACCATTGTTTTTATTTCATCGGTGTCTTACATTTGTTCATAACCCTTTTAAGAAGCTGGTTCACACAAATATTGACAATTGGGCAGTCAAGTCTTGCAAGCCAGCTCTAGCACACCACTGTGTGTTGCCCAGCCTCAGAGGTGTGAGTGTGCGATGTTAGCTCAAGGTTCCTTCTAGATCCAACCCCCCGCATCATTCTCTTGCTTTTGTCTATAGATAGAAAATGTCTGCAGCTTAATATTATCGATCTTGGATGCCTTCTTGTCCAAAGATAAGACGGTGGTAATTCGGGCCTTGATCACCCTCCGAAAACTTTTAGAAAAATTGGACAAGGTCATCTATTCCTCTCTATGCACCAAAATTGCTGCCAGCTACTGTCCTCTGATGGATCATGTGAGTTACATGTGGGAGTACATCTGGGTATATGGGATTATCAGGTTTTGCAGATCCACCGATGCCCCAGCAGATGCAATATCACATTCTAGAACATGCCAACTGGAAATGGTCATGGTGTGCAAAATCATTATTTCTTCTCCAGAAGTTCCCAATGGTAAACATGTAAGTAGTGTCCTTTTCTTCTTAACTACACTGAGAACCTGAAAAAGTCTTCCTGTTGTCAATAAGAGTCAAAAGACAGTCTCTGCCTTCGGACCAAAGAGAAAGTATAACTCGGTGGTTGCAGCTGGTGGTGGTGGTGGTAATTTCTGTGGGATTGTTTCAGACCTGTGTACACTGACAGTGGATCCATGGGGTTTTCAAGACAGTGACCTTTCCAAAGTTGATCACCAGGGCTGTTATCTGAGGCACCTATGGGTGAGTTTGAACAACCAACCTTTCAGCAAGTAGTCAAAGTGCTTAACAGTCTTCATCACTCAGGTATTATTAAGCATAACTTTGTGGTTGCTATGTGCCATCATGTCATAACAACCATAGAATACAGAATATGACTTCATCGGGTTTCTTACGCTGTAATCTTTAAGGGAGCAGACCGCCAGGTCTTTGTTCCTCTAGAGCTGCTGGTTGGATTTTACTGTTGATCTTCCAGTTATCAGCGGAGTGCTTAAACATTGCACCACCCAGCTCCCTAATTGAGAGGTTATAAATTGTGTTGCTTGATGGACATTGGGCCCCCACTCAAGTACTCCCTCAATGCAAGAGTACTTTGTTCTATCAAACTGGCATTCTATGTTGTTCACCTTCCCGATGCGATCGCTGGAGACAAAG